CGGCCCTGTCCCGCCGCAAGGCCTGGGGGGTGCCCGGTGTGTCCAGTCCCCCCCCAGTCCCGGGGGGTCCCGGTGTCCCCAGCCCCGGGGGGTGGCTCTGTCCCCCCTCCCAGCCCCGGGAGGTGCCCGGTGGCCCCAGCCCCGGGGGGTGGCCCTGTCCCCCAGCCCCGGTGGCCCTGTCCCGGGGGGTGGCCCTGTTCCCTCTCCCAGCCCCGGGGGGTTCCTGGTGTCCCCACGCCAGGGGTGGCCCTGTCCTCCCCCCGCAAGCCCCGGGGGTTCCCGGTGTCCCCGTCCCCAATCCCGGGGGGGTTCCCAGTGTCCCCAGCCCCGGCGGGTCCCAGTATCCCCACCCCGGGGGTGTCCGTGCCCCCAGCCCCAGGAGGTGCCCGGTGTCCCCGCCCCGGGGGCGTCCTTGTCCCCCTCCAGCCCCGGGGGTGCCCAGTGTCCCCATCCCGGGAGGTGGCCCTGTCCCCCAGCCCCGGGGGGGTGCCCGGTGTCCCCACCCCGGGGGGGTTCCCGGTGTCCCCGCCCCAGGGGTCCCCCCCCTAACGCAGCCTTCCACCCTCAGGCAGGGAACAACCATCCGAGCTCCTCTTCCTCCCCGGCGCCCGGCAGGAGCCCCGCCGGCCCGGTGACAGCCGGGGGACGCCAGGATGTGGCACGAGGCCCGCAAACACGAGCGCAAGCTGCGGGGGATGATGGTGGATTATAAGAAGCGAGCGGAACGCCGCAGGGAGTACTACGAGAAGATCGTGAGTGGCCCCCGTCCTCGTCCCTTCCCCGGGGACGGCGGTGGCCCCTCACCGTCCCTCGGTGGGCCCCGATTTGGGGTGCGCCGGGGGCGTTTGGGGACCACCCGGGCGCTCCCCCTTTTCCTCAGGGTTCTCCCTTTTCCCCAGGGCTGGAGGCTCGGGGCTCCCCCTCTTCCCTGGGGCTCAGGGCTCCCCCTTTTCTCCAGCACTGGAACCTCGGGGCTCCCGCTTTTTCCCAAGGCTCAGGGTTCCTGCTCCCCCTTTTCCCTGAGGCTCAGGGCTCCCCTTTTTCCTCAGGGCTCCCCCTTTTCTCTGAGGCTCGGGGCTCCCCTTTTTCCTCAGGGCTCCCCCTTTTCCCTGAGGCTCAGGGCTCCTGCTCCCCCTTTTCCCCATGGCCCAGGGCTCCTCCTTTTCCTTGAGGTTCCAGGCTCCCCCTTTTCCCCAAGGCTCAGGGCTCCCGCTCCCCCTTTTCTCCAGCGCTGGAGGCTCAGGGCTCCCCCTCTTCCCTGTTGTTCCGGGCTCCTGCTCCCCTTTTTCCCAAGGGCTCAGGGCTCCCCTTTTCCCTGAGGCTCCGAGCTCCTGCTCCCCCTTTTCCCTGAGGCTCCGAGCTCCCGCTCCCCCTTTTTCCTGAGGCTCCGAGCTCCCGCTCCCCCTTTTCCCTAGGGCTCGGGGCTCCCCCTTTTCTCCAGCACTGGAGAATCAGGGCTTCCTTTTTCCCTGTCATTCCAGGCTCCTGCTCCCCCTTTTCCCCAGGGCTCGGGGCTCCCCCGCTTTCCCCAGGGCTCCCGCTCCCCCTTTTCCCTGAGGCTCGGGGCTCCCCCCTTTCCCCAAAGCTCAGGGCTCCCCCTGTTCCCCAAGGCTTGGGGCTCCCGCTCCCCCTTTTCCCCAGCGCTGGAGGCTCAGGGCTCCCCCTTTTCCCCGAGGCTCCTGTTCCCCCTTTTCCCTGAGGCTTGGGGCTCCCGCTCCCCCTTTTCTCCGGCGCTGGAGGCTCAGGGCTCCCCTTTTTCCCCAAAGCTTGGGGCTCCCCTTCCTTATTTTCTACCCCTCGGTGGTTTTATTCCTTTTTTTAATTTCTTTTTCGCCCCCGGGGGTTTCTGCTCCTCCTAGAAAAAGGACCCGGCCCAGTTTCTCCAGGTGCACGGCCGCGCCTGCAAGGTTCACCTGGACTCTGCCGTCGCGCTGGCCGCCGAGAGCCCCCTCAACATGTGAGGAGCGCC